ATACACACACACACACACACACACATATATATATATAGTCATATTAACCAACATGGATGTTTAGAAATAAGTATTTTCTTGAAATAACCAGAAGCCCCTTCTGCACAGATTATTGTATGTGCTCCATAAGAATCTTTGAACAAATGAAACAAGTCTGCTTCACATTGTTCTTGGAAATTACTGGGCAGCTTTGTTTCATGTAACCACTTTAAGAGTGGCTTTCTCAAGTCTTTGTTGAAGTGAAATATCCCTGCAGAGATCTAAACAGCCCTAGTAAAATCTACTTTAGGCCTGAACATGAAGCTTGTTGAAGAAATTAAATACTCATTTCTTTATTTGCCTTTTCTTTCAGGGCTCAAGGCAGTGTACATAGCAACCTTTTTTTTTATTTTTACCACAACAATTCTGAAATGAATTGGGCCAAATGTCAATAATTCAGTGAGCTTCCATACAGAATGGATTTGAATCTGGGTATCCTTGGGCCTAGGTCAAGACTCTAATCAATAGGTTTATTTCCTAAAAATTCCAGATGAAGTATGAAGAAGAAAAATAAAGAAATAATAAAATCGATGCATCTTTAAACCCTTAAATATATCTTGTTATGCTATGATGCCTTATCCAAATAATGGAGTTCAAAGCTGGTTGCCTTTTTGAGGGTTGATCATGCTCTATTTGATATTGCATCACTTCTTGTGAATATTTTATTTAGAGACAGATGGATAAAATAATACCAGTAACAATAAGAACCTCATCATAATGAAAACTGCCAACTTTAAAATCCCTTTATATATCTAAGTTAAATAGTCTTAATCATTTTTTTCTCTGTATGTCAGATGAAATGTAGGATTGCAGTTTAGGCATATAGGGTTACAGTTTAAGTTGTTCATGGAAATACTGGTAAATACTTCAGACTGTTTTCCCTTTCTCTATCCTAATCAAAGAACTTAATTAAGTCAGGGAGATAGGGAGATTGTTTGATTTTGTTTTCTGTATATATTTTTTTACAGAAAAGGAGTACATTCAACAAATCTAGATGTCTGAATTGTGATATCCAATTCCATATAGAGTCTACAAGTCAATAAAATATTACCATCTGTTGAAGACAAACTACATTTTAAACATTTATGTATTTTGATTGCATCAAAAAATTAGGTGACTTTTTATTGTTTATAAATTTCATCATCATAGAATCTTAATTATTAAAATGATTTCAGGAATACATCTAGAGAGCATAAACAAACAACAAAAGATTCTTGTTATTTCACCTGCTGTGTTCCTGCAAAGTCTCAGTATCAAACACCTGGTTACGGCTGTGAGAACGAACTGTAGACTATGAGATAGAGATTAAAAATTCCTATAGCAGCAAGGTTTTTGCTTCAATCTTAACTTTGAAAAATCCTGCATGTGTATGTTGAACAATTTTTTTTGCAGTGTATAAATGCAAAATATCTTTTAGTCAGAATGACTGTTAGAAGTGAGTCTCCGTTTTTCTTTTCACATTGACAATGATCAGATAGTCACATAACCATTCCTATTTTAGCAATTTAAGATTTTTAATTATAATTATACTCATTTTTACCCCATTCGTTTTGTGGCATTTGTTTAATATTTGTTAAACTAAAGTACTGATAATATATAACATTTTAATTTATAACAGGAGACAACTGAGTAGCTATTTGGCATCTTCCAGCCTTAAGATTCTGCTAATCCTATGAATATTTACAAGGACTGGCTTTAAGAGAATAACAAACTAGATGGCTATCAAATGCATCAGACTTTGTACAATGAAAATGTGCATATAGCATGATGAACTTTCCATGGGTAAATGAACTCTTTGGGAATTTATTTTAAAATATATAGGAAGTTAAAAATAGATAATTTTATTTGAAACATAAAATGTAATCTAATTTTAAAACTTTCGAATATCTGGTTAAGATGTTTTTTCTGTTTGTTCTTTATACTATTTTTGCATATTCACTATTAGTTTTCCAGCCAATGTCTTAAACCAGTGCCAGATGCATTTATTAGTCCTCAATAAATGTAGAAGGCTGTCCTGTGTTTCTGACACGGAGCAGTCTTTGGATTTGATGCTAACCTTCAGCTGCAAAGTAAAACATTTTAAAGCACTACTTTTGGAAGTCAGAAAGTATAAATGTCACCTTCTGTACAACATAGTGTTGATCTCTGAAATGTGCCGGCAGATATCAGCAGAATGAAATGAATAGAGGAAACAAATTTGTTTGGGGGTTTTTTGCTGATGTGTATATCTGCAAATGTAGCACATTTAGACACAGAGGTATCATCCATGAAAATCATATATTGTAAAAGATACTCCAAATTAAACAAATAAACTAGATAACAGACAACTGAGGCTTATCCCCTGGAACAGTTCAGTCTAATATTAGATTTGCCGAGATGAAAAATCTGTGGTCCTTACTTCTGGGGGAGGGGGAAACCTCGTGATATTCAGAAAAAAAGTATGATTACAGTAGTGTATCAGAATGAAGATATTCATAAATGTGTTTATAAACCTATTGAATTTATAAACCACATTTATAAGCCACCCAACTCTTAAAAACTCTGACTATTGCAAATGCCTGTCAATTGCAAATTTTACTTGCATTTGAATGCTGCTTGCATGCTACAGAAAAGGATTTGAGACATGTGCGGTGCTTTTTATTATTATTCATATGTAATTGAATGTTTCTTTTATATTCTACATTTTGCCATATAAATGTCTAAATGTAAATGTGACTAGGTCATGTTATAGCTCCCCCAATCAATTTAAAGCTTTCAGTGATATTTGTTATTATTGGCTATAGCATCCTTTTTGACCATCTATGACACTTGAGAATTGAGGCACTGCTATGCAATAATTCTGTTCCTTCTTAAGTGGGCAATTCCAATCAACGATAAACGAGAGGTTGAGTCCTTGGGCAATTCAGTGTTGGGTACTTCAGAGCCCTTTCTTCTATTACAAGTGGTTTAGGTGAATATTATCACTATAAATCTCCACCCAGGCAATGGAGGCTTTGACCTTGCTTCAGTGGAATATGAGAGATCAAAAGGAGTAGAACCAACTAAGTCTGAATACCAACAAGATGAAGTTGATGTTAGGCCTCAGGTACCACATAGGCTCAATCTATTGTTTTTGATAGAATTATGATTCCCCTGAAGGAGCAGATGTACGGTGTGTGTATTTTTGACTTGCAATTCTTGCTATGACCTTTCTTGGACGGGAGGCATTGAAGACAGTGACTTAAGTCAGAAATTTAAATTTCTGAAATTTATTCTGTATGTGGCTGCCCTTGACAATGTCACAGAAGCTACAACTGAACAGAATGTGGCTGCAGGTCTGTCAACTGATACTAGCTGATTTAGAAGTGTTATATCTATACTGTAGAAACTACATTGCTTCTAGCTTCGATTCAAGATATCATTTGTTTCTTATAAATACTTCTTTAGGATTGCAAGACAATAGGTTCAAGCCAAGGTGAAACGTCCCAAAGGATTTTATTGAAAAACATCAAGAAAGTTACAGAAAAAGAAATGGATATCAATACATATTTCTTCAACTTCCATAAATCCCAGAAATAACAGCACACCCCACTACAGTCAGCAATTGTACAGCAACCTTTTCTTTCCAAGACTTTAGGTCTATACCAAGATTCAACTTTCTTAGGGACTTAATACTTTTTAATACTTTTCTAAAGAGTCAGGGTATATAAGCAGTAACACCGGGAAATGGTTTGGTAGCTCACTTTCCCATTGACCTGGTTGCAACTTGAGACCATTGACTTTCTGATAGAGATATTTTTAAGTAAAACAATGTCCCTAAGCAAAACAAAACAAAACAAAACCAAGGATAATCTGGTGATATATCTTGTCAAAAATACTGGGAACTCAGACTTTGCAAACAAATTTGTTATATACAAATTGCCTCAGCTGGCTTAATACCCCTTTCTATACCCTATACGTCCAAAGGTGAAAAGAGCTCCACAACACTATCTTGCTACTCTTTCCCAATGCCAGAATAGTCCTCATGAGGAGATTAGCAGGCAGAGACCCAAAGGAAGGGTTTTTTAATCACAGCCAGCTGACTTTGGAACCCCAGCTCCCCTAGCAGCCAGGAAGATTGCCACCCTGTCAAACTTTTTATAGACTTTGGAAAGTCTATAAAAATGAGGGTCTTTTGAAAGGTCCTTAGTGTGGAGAACATCAGTTAGGCAGAATTCAGTGGTGGAATTTTAAGTATACCCTTAACTAATTACTGTTATTATGTTTTTAAAAATGTAAGTTTCCTAGAGTGTCACAAAAGGCAGCATGCAAATAGCTGCACAAATAATACATTATCCATGTATCAAATTCACTGTATGGAAACCAATTAGACAAGGAATGATCTGCATTTGGTTGGTTAGAGAAATGTCCTAGGAATTCCAAGATGAAATTATTTCACAATAGAGGGTGCACTTTTCAATGGTCTTACAGGTAAACTGGGGGCCTACTGCCTTGTTAGCCATAAAGATTACTTCATGTCTATTTCTTGTTAAAAAAGTAATTGATAATTTTTCTGTCAGTTTAGGAAGCTTATATGGCCTTTTCCCAGCTGCAATTTTCTGTTATTTCTACCATTCCATTAAGTATGTTGGCTCATCTGAGATGATTTATTCTGGACCTCTCTGCAGTTTTTATGAGCACAAACCAAATACCAGGCACAAATGCCTGTTCGGATTTATCCACAAAATGTAAAATCAGTCAAACTCCTGCACGTGATTTGGTCCCCTCATAACTGAATAAGTGCAAGAAGTCCACGTTCTATCTATGGAGATGCCTCTTCTTTTTTAAGAAGTAATGTCCTAGAGGTATCTCCATAAGTAGCCTTTGGTTTTGATAGATAGAAATAGAATTTTGAAAGCATTTTTTTTATCAAATTGAATGAATAAATGCAGGATAATTTCTCTGCCAGGGGTTAGACTAATGCAAACCATACTATGTCTTACCTTTCTTTGGTAGAAATGGAGAACTTTCATCCTCATGTGCTGTACAGCTTTAATTTTGTTCAGCTTCAGATTCCATAAAACTTGTTGATTTTTCTGTGGCTAGAAATAACTTTAATTGGCTTCTTGGGGCTTTTAATGTAGAAATCATTTGCAATGCATGATAACATGCCCTGGGAAAATACTTCATTTCATTGTTCCTCTGCCAATATGATCTAATAATAATAGTTGTACCTTCCACCTTAAAGAGAGTATTTTTATGGACTATTCCAAAGTGACTTCTGTGGTTAGTTTATTAAGGTCTTCTTTGCCAGTAAACGATATTTGAAATATATTTCTCTTGACTTGAAAGACTTTCCAGCACTGGGTAATACAAAAACCAGCTAACAAACCTGAAAACCAAAGCTATTTTCAGGGCAAACTGAAGATTCTTCTTGCTAAGAAAATTCTAGAACACTTGGGGCATTTCTATAAACATTTTTAAAGGTGAAAACAAAGTCAGTTAATGCAGACTTTTTCACAAATAAAATGTTGGAGCAATTGTTGCAGTGTTTGCACTGAGGAAAAAAAAGATAACTTATTCAAATGGCTATAGTTGGGAAGAGGAACCTCTCTTGATCAGATTAGAAATTAAGCTTTTAAAAACACATTTTATTTCCACTTATATTCTGCCTTTACTATGGAGTATTCTTGATTCTTTCCCAAAAGTAACCTTACAGCTGCCATTTGAGAAATGTGAGTGGTGGCTGAACCAAAATCAGTCACTGGGATTTGTGTTTATGAGAAGTGAATTAAGAATTTGAGTCTACATATAAAAAAATTACTTGAACCCCCCCCCCTCAGTTTTACTCAGTAATTCCCAAGCTGGAAGCAAGTGCTCCAAGGCAGCATAAGACGTTTAATCATCCAGATTTATTCCTGAAGCATATAGGAAGAATCCCCAAAGTAGTGACTACTACATATGTTAGTTGCTGATTCATGAAGCTAAGAAGAATTTTATTCACCTACATAATGGCAGTTCTGTCCTCATAGCAACTTGGTTAGACCTTTAAAGTATAAGATTTATTACCCTGAAAATATTTGATCCCTTAGCTGGATCTATTGTAGTGTTAAATGGGTTGGTACTGCCCTAAAAGGAAGGCTGTCTTATGAGGGATCTTACAATAAGCTTGTAAATGCTAGACTTACTTAGCAAATATGTCTCATTACCTAGATGGCAGGAATGACTTAAACTTTAGGCCCATGATTGGTTTTTACTTTCTGCCACTCTGTTGCCAATAGCATGCAAATCAAGATAGCCAATCAGTCAGAAGTCAGCCTTCTCTTTCACCGATCCTACTCCTTGTCAAATAAACTAAAAAGTTATAGCCTGGTTAGGTAAACTGTGACTCTCTTAATTCCCACTATCCTGTTCCACTCACTTCCAATAAACTCTATAACTTTTGACATAGATCCATGATAAAAATAGCATTGAACTATAACAGTGGCACACATATTTTAAATGATATATGCATTTGTATTTTTCAAGTTTGCTAGTTTGAGCTAATAAATCAAAATCAAAGGGTAATACAATTAGTTGCTCTATTTATAGCTTTTACTTTATCATTATGTTTATGGTATTGCTGTGGAAAGCTGAATTCAACCCCAATCAACCTGTTCTGCATTTGTCTCCTGGCCAACTCACTCTACTTCTTCCTTCCTTGATAAATAGAAGTCATTTGAAAGGAAGATCATGGGTGAAACCTAAACTTTTCTTATTCTACAGTGTCACAAAATGTTTGCTTGGTTTATAAATGGTCATGAATGATTTAAGTATTTTTCATGCCAGTATACTACCTATTTCTATTGACAAATATTATTTCAAGGTATCCCACTGTAGTATGTGTGGATAAGAAACGAAGGAGGTTCATTCTATTTCAAATATATTTTGGAGTAAACAACATTGAAAAATTATTTAACAAGACCAGTACAGTTGGATGGGGACAGATCTGGAAAGCTATTTAACAAATGCATATCACATATACAATAATCCAAATACTACATAAAGGAAAATATTTGTAGCTCAGGGTTGACATGAGAGGTCCTTGGTACTCTCTGAGCTTTCTTGCTTTCTTGCAGATGTTTCATTACCCAAACATCAATCACTAGCATTGGTGATGTTACCTAGTTTGGATAATGAAACATCTGCAAGAAAATAAGCAAGCTTAAGAGAGCACCAAGGACCCCCCAAATACTATATCTCATTTATAATGTTTGTGGAAGTTCATATGGCCTTGTTCTCACCCTGCTATTCTTTAAAGTTAATTTTGTGTCTTAAATGGTTGACATTTCGTTTGGCATCATTCTACCTAAAGGGGGAACAAATACCAATAAAACATGTTCATCATGATGCTCTTAACTCCATTGTTTCTGCAGGAATTCATTTACTAATTAACTGTGTTTTGTGTAGAGCACATAGTGCTCTTCCTTGCTGTTGTTCTGTACAGCAACAGCCATTTGAAGTGAAGAAAGGAATCTAGAATTCACTTTGGGGAAGATATGAAGAAGATATCAGTAAAGAAAAAAATGTATTTATATGGTCCAGAGATTGAAGAAAGCATGAGGAAGAAGCCGAAACCCACGCTAATTTTGTTAACTATGAGATGGGACAAAAACTTGGATAGACTTTTAAGTTTCTATTACAATAATAAAACAGCATCCTTGGAATCCCTGAAATGTCTGTTTGTTGACATGGCCTACCTCAAAGGGCAGACATGTAGATTTTGACAACTGACCATCATCACCCAGTTAATATCTGTGGCTGAGGGTGAATTGTAACCTTGTCTCCCTACTCCAACACCTACTGTAAATCTCTACACCAAATTGCCTTAGGACCTGTGAATTTAACATACAAATTATGTGGAAATTTGCTGCAGTCTTTTAGGCCAATCATCACTTCTTTGATACAAATTTTAGCTAGACCATTGTCATTTGCAATAGAAAAATATTGGGTAGTGAAGAGGAATGATATATATAAAATTCTAATATGAAGAAGAAAAGATGGATATATTTTTCTCTTTTAAAAACTGGAATCTGTTATTATCAAATACATTTGACTTGATTCATGACAAATAAAAAGTATTTCTCAATGTTTTATTGATTTGCAATATTTGTGTCTGCTATTATGTCTAAAAAATTGTTAATGTGGTCCTAAAGAATACAACTAAAAGTGATCTTTGTTGAGATGGATTTCAGTTATACAGATAACTTTGTACAATGTGATATGACAAAACCATTTTGGATAAAGATAAACACTACAGCAATTCATCTTTACATAAAATATATAATATGTAATTGTAGATTATCACCTAATTTTAAACCAAACATACTTGTTTCCAAATCTACTTCATGTGGTGGTCTCTCATGGAAAATGAGACACGCAGACAGGTATCTCGGGATGAGAGCCCAGAGCTGACTCCAGCACCCTCTTTTATTGTTACTAAGGTTTTTACATCACACAGCATAATCAAAAGACAGGGGTGGTTACAATGTATCAAATAACAGACACTCTCCAGATCAAGGCTACTGCAGGTGTTCTTATCAGAGTCTGTCCAAAAGGCTGATGAATGTATCCTGTGTCTGAAACAGTTATCTCAGGCCCTTGTGGGAGATGCCCATGGATAGATGCCCATGGACATTTGTGCAATTAGTCCCACATCTCCTGCTTTTCTGTTTTTTCAATGTTACTCACTTCCAGTTCCAGAAGGGATCTTGATTCACTGATTAAGGCGTCCTTCCTAGTGGAGGGCTAACATTTTTGCACATTTGCAGGAGGGAGGGAATACATTGAATGCAACAACATAGCAATACAAATAATATCAAAAACTATAATAGAAATCAAAGATCGTAGCCAGGATCCATCCGGTAGCCAGGACCAAAGGGCACCCCAAATATCCACGGTGCCTGATCCATCGCTGCGTAAGGGATTATTTTGGAGCAAAGATTCCATTTTTCTAGCTGTAGCAGAAATATTAGGTTGAAAATCATGTATATACATACAACAATGAGAATGAATTAAAGCACACACACCGCCTTTTGCTGCTAAAATAATATCTAAAGCATACCGATTTTGCAAAACTACTTCCCTTATTTCCCCATTTCTTGATTAATCATTTTAATGCTGTTGATTGTTTCATTAAACATATGAACAGTCCAATTGTTAAGCAAATGAAGGTCCCTATAGTTCATGGCAACTCTAGATTGGGTAGAATCCCTCTGCTGATTTGAGTCTCTAAACTACCACCCAATGTTAGGGGTGGATCCGAGGAACCAGTATCACGTTTGTTCCGCAGGCGTCCATCAGGGAGATGAGGCAAAGCATATACAGCAGGAATCAAAAGGCCCAGTGTACAGGTGCCTTTCCAATCCTTAGGCACCTGGCGATAGGCTCTACGGCCACATAGTAGCCACATATCGGGTAACTCATAATAACCCTGGTGAGACTCATTAGCAAATGTTATTATGGATTCCATGTCAAGGCAAGCCAGTACTGATGTTTGTCCATTGATTGCTTTGATAAGTGTCATTTACCTTAGTAAGGTTGCTTTTGATGGATTTACATTTCTTTGCTGAATTCCATATAATAACTTGTTGACAATTACTATAAGTTCCCAAATAAATGGCAGTACGGAATAGTCCTGTGCTATAAAAACAAAATCTGGCAGGTTCCATTATACGAGCACCCACAGCATATGTCATATTCAATGTCTCTGTAGTTATGCTCCACAGCTGCTTCCATCCTGTTTCATTGAATGGAATGGCATGGAAAATAAGACCACCACGACTGTCACCAGGAATTTGCATGCAGATCTAACAGTTCGTGACGTTAAGTGTAAGAGCAGTGCGCCTGGCATCCCGTACAAAAGCATTAAAAGCCCACAGTCCCTGATCCTCATATGCCTGGCTGAGGTGGTGTACGTTGAGCCATATAAGGACGAACACAACGAGCTGGAGTCCAAATGATCTCGCCATGGTCGTCTATTGCAGCATAGCCTCGACCCCAAGTAATGAGGGAGGCAGGCCTTTCCAGGTGGGATCAGGCAAACGTCGATAGTATAC